GGGGGGGGGGGGGGGAGAATTTCACTAGCCGAATGTGAGAAATTGTGCAAAATAGCGGATAATTGAAGTGAAGCGCGGGAAACACACCCTCACTCGTGAAAACTCAACACGGTACTAGCCAGCGTTGAGGAACGCTTTTGCACTAGTATCCCTAACATTGAGCAAGGTTCATAACGTTATGGCATTTGTGTGTGAATGTGCGCGCGCGGCGGTTTTCCATCCCCCGTTGTCTGTGTATTGGTATCAAAAGGGTATAGTCAACATGATAGGACGGGGCAGGAGGGGCTAGGAGGGTGGGGGGGAGCAAGAGACAGAGGAAGAGGGGATGGTAGTGGCGGCGGCTGTGGAGGGGTGACCAGATCCCCTTAAATCCCCGATATCTGGCGAGCGAGCGATACGATTTGAATGAATCAGAGCTCATTTTTAAGGCTGAAAAAATTCCCTGAGAATGAGAAAAAAATGCCGGAATTTCACTCAGCCGATGCTGAATTATTGACCATTTAAGACGGCTCACCCCAGCCCGCTCATCTCCATCACTCCGAAATTGATTCTTCTTCAATCACCAATATCTGCTGACCCAACGATACAATTTCAACGAGACAAAAATCATTTTGAAGCTGAAAAAAATATCTCGAGAGTGAAAGAAAAAATCCATAATTTCACTCAGCCGTTCCCCAGATATCGATCATCGATGGATGATCCATCCACTGGGTGCATATCCCACCTATTCTCGAGTGATGAAATTCGCGCGCAGAATCGCACGATGGACGAAGGTGTATATAGGACAGAGGGAAAGAAGGGAAAACTGGTAATGGTGGTGGGTGGGAATGGAGATGCACCAGGACGCATGAGCACATGGGGGTAGGAGTGAGAGAGGGATGTTAAATTCTGTGGGTTTGAGAAAATGAGGGAAGAGAGAGGGGTTGCTATTAGGGCCAGTGTGGCGAGGGGAGGAATAAAAATGGGAAAGACCATGGCATGAGAAATTGATGAGAATGAGAGAGATGAAGTGAATAAACCCCATCAGAGGTTGGATTCTCTCCCTCTACCCCTCGGCTTCTCCAATGACACCCGACTGTTGCTCTTTGGAGCAACACCACTAGTGTACATTATACCTGTAAATGCACACCAGGGGTTGAATTGGTTGCGATGAGGGAAGGATACAAAACTAGATGAAGAGGAATGGAGAGCAGGAGGACTGCATTATCCATTTAAACAGGCATACAAGGGGCTTTTGATAGGTGGAGAGAGACAGAGAGGGGGGAGGGTAGAGGGGGAGAGGGTGGTTTGTTGCCTGATATGATCATCGATAACGAGAGTGGAGAGAGTACAGTCTCGCATACTGGCTTGATAGGTTTGTACAAATGGATTGGAGGTTTGCCAATGCTGTGGGGACAGTTTCATGCACCGGTGAAATGTGCAAGTAGTGGATTTTGAGTTTAGAGGATTGCGTTTGGCGGTGGGAGAGAGGTTGAATTGGATTTCAATGATGAAGAACTGTCGGGTGAGAAGTAGATGGAGAAATGTGGAGATAGGGAGTGAGGGAATGGTTGGAGGATGTGCCAGAATAGTGGATCTATGATATCCGGTTGTTGTGTATGTCATATCAGGAAATTATCATCGATACGCTACATATTGTGCTTTGGTGGAGTGAGGACGGCGAGGGGAAGGGGGGGGGATGATTGGATTATGGCCAATGCCAGATGTTTTTCTTTGGTATTCTCGGCGGGTTGGGGGGAGGGGGTTACGTGCCGGTGGATGACATAGATTTTTGTCGGTTGTGATTTATCATTTTGGGGGGTGGGAAAGGTCAATTTAATTGGCGGGCCAATGGTACTTATTCGATTATGATTATTGATCGTTATTAGTTCAATTATTTCAAGGGGTTTGGACCTGTTACACGTGTGAGATTTCTTGTTGGTTGACACACGTTGGGTCGTTCTGCCCTTAGATCATCTCGAAATAATTTTAACAAATCTAAAAATTTTAATCTTACATTTTAAACCGAATCCGCGAACCCCAACCCCCAAAGGTTTACTTTTTTCCATTTAAATAACATCCGATTTCGCACTCTCTTTGTATTTTATAAGTATATATGTATGTGACAAATTTTTTTATTTATTGCTTGCTAATAAATCGACGGAATAGAATCTTTTTTTCTCTAATGTAGGGATTGTTGAGCCCTATCCATCGATTCACGCCTGAATAGCCACTGCCTTTAATAAAATGTAAAATGAATTATAGACTACAGAAGCGGATGATCAGCAAAATGACCATTCGGAAGCATATTGCTAATTTATTACCAAAAAACTATACAATATTAATATAAACCCAATTTCCCACTTGTTTTAATCACTTCGAGGTGATCCAGTGCAGCGTAACAGTAAAAATTCGGAAAAGGGGCGTTTAACCACCCTAATACACACTCTGCACAGCAGAAAAGTTGAGCGATAAAGCTGGTTAAATGTTACGAGTGGGTGCATCACACTTCTTCATAGGTACCTGAATCTCGTTGAATTGTGTTCAGAAATAAAAAAAAATTGTAGGCAAAGGCTGGTTGAAGGGACACACACACACGTCATAAACCGCCAACTAGACCAGACGTTTTAATCTTATACTTGTCCTCCACCACTTCCTCATCCACACCAAGATGACTGCGCGAGGGGGTGGCTTCCTTCTTTTCTCTCTCTCCCTCTCTCTCGTTTTTTTCATCGTCTCCCCTCCCCCCCCCTCCCTCTTCCTCTCTCCTCTTTACCATTTTTAGTGGATATACATGTATGTATGTGTGCAAGAGACGAGTAGAAAACGTTATCCTATCTGTCGCATCTGAGTACGTGCTTCACTGTTCGCGTGAACGATCGCATTTTAGCCATCACTTCTTCCTGCATCAGGTTGAAGCACATCGCTATCAGAGCCATGCCTGTTAAAAAAAAAAAAAAAAAAAAAAAAAAAAAAAAAAAAAAAAAAAAAAAAAAAAAAAAAAAAAAAAAAAAAAAAAAAAAAAAAAAAAAAAAAAAAAAAAAAAAAAAAAAAAAAAAAAAAAAAAAAAAAAAAAAAAAAAAAAAAAAAAAAAAAAAAAAAAAAAAAAAAAAAAAAAAAAAAAAAAAAAAAAAAAAAAAAAAAAAAAAAAAAAAAAAAAAAAAAAAAAAAAAAAAAAAAAAAAAAAAAAAAAAAAAAAAAAAAAAAAAAAAAAAAAAAAAAAAAAAAAAAAAAAAAAAAAAAAAAAAAAAAAAAAAAAAAAAAAAAAAAAAAAAAAAAAAAAAAAAAAAAAAAAAAAAAAAAAAAAAAAAAAAAAAAAAAAAAAAAAAAAAAAAAAAAAAAAAAAAAAAAAAAAAAAAAAAAAAAAAAAAAAAAAAAAAAAAAAAAAAAAAAAAAAAAAAAAAAAAAAAAAAAAAAAAAAAAAAAAAAAAAAAAAAAAAAAAAAAAAAAAAAAAAAAAAAAAAAAAAAAAAAAAAAAAAAAAAAAAAAAAAAAAAAAAAAAAAAAAAAAAAAAAAAAAAAAAAAAAAAAAAAAAAAAAAAAAAAAAAAAAAAAAAAAAAAAATGGTAACGCGTGAGAGTCAATGATTTTTTGCGCTTTCACTTCTTGTTGCTCACTTTCTGATGCATCAAAAGTGCTTGGCGTATTTGATAATCTTCTTTTTACGTATTTTTTTTTTTTCATTTCATTCTGACGTATTGTATTTTAGTTTTATTACCTAGCATGAGATACATTGAGCAAAATATGAAGGACAGCTCGATCCCTTGGCCGGAGTATATCTTGTCACCTGGGACAATATCACCAAAGCCAATTGTCGAGAGGGAGATGAAACAAAAGTAGGAGCCGTCTAAAAAGCCCCACTCCTCCCATTCTGAAAATAACAGGGCTCCACCGCAGATGTACCTGTCACAAATTGTTTCGTTGGTTTTTTTTTTGTTTTTTTTT